CCTTTTAGACAAGGACTGGCGGCCTGGATGCAGTTTTCCAGTCTTGACCTAACCAGAGATGTATATAAGGAGGTGAACATATCTCTGGTAATTCTTGTAAAGGCTCTGCGAATCGCCCATAAGGACCTGAAACTACGTGCAGCCACCGCGCGACAGTGTGCTGTAGTTTTTAAGTCGTGGCTAACTATGACACCTAAGTCCAAGTGAGTCTGAACTGATGGAAGTGTTATTCCCTCTAGTTCGTAGGGGCTTGTGCTTGCTTGTCCAATGCGCATGGTTGCACATTTTGCCACATTGATCGGGAGCATCCATTCAACAGACCACTCCGACAATTTGTTGAGGTCCTCTTGCAACGTGAACGTATCACTGTTGCCCTTCAGCTCTCTCCAAATTTTTAAGTCATCTGCGTATAGGACCATAGGGGAGTCGGTGAGCAGAGGTAACTCATTGATATACAGAATAAAAAGGAGAGGACCGAGAACCGTGCCTTGTGGCACTCCGCTACTTACTGCTGTCCAGGAGGAGAGTTTTGAGTTGATCCTAACCCTCTGCCTCCTATCTATGAGGAATTCCCTGAGCCAGTCTAGTAGTCTGCCTTTGATACCAAGACTTTCCAATTTCATGAGTAGTCTTTTGTGAGGTACTTTATCAAAGGCTTTACTGAAGTCTATGAAGACGACGTCAACGGGTCTTCTGTTGTCCTTTGATTTGACCCAGCTTTCTCTTGCAGTCAGGAGATTTGACAGGCATGAGAGGTTCCTCCGGAAGCCATGCTGTGCTCCAGATAACAAGCTGCTATTTTCCAGATAAGCCATGATGCTTTTCTTGATAATTCTTTCCAGTGTCTTGATTAAAGTGCTGGTGAGACTGATAGGCCTGTAATTTGAAGGGCTTTGTCTTGATCCTCCTTTGTGTATGGGGGTTACTATGGCGTCTTTCCAATCACGTGGCAACACTCCATTTAGGAGAGATAGCTTGAAGATCGTGGTCAAGGGGCCGGCTATGTGGGCTGATAGCTCCTTGAGAAGCCTTGGATGAAGACTGTCAGGACCCATTGATTTTCCTGCATCTAGTTTCATTAAGAAGTTGAGCACGATGCCTTGGTCGATGTCAACGGAATCTATCCCATGTTCTTCTGATGCAGCCAGAGCTGATCCTATAGGCAGTGATGACTCCTGAGTGAAGACTTGGGAGAAGTAGTTTGCCATTGCTTCTGCTTTTTCTTGATCTTCTTCGATTGTATCTTTGTCAATAATCAGGTTTGGGACACCATTGGGTGTTTTATTCCTGAAATTCAAGTACGAGAAAATTTTCTTAGGTTGTGCCTTTGCATTTTGGGCCAGGTGTGTCTCGAACTTCATCCTTGATTGGCGGATTTCTGCGATAGCTTTATTTCTAGCAGTAGTATATAATTCCCTGGTCTCAGAAGTCTCAAGTGTTGCAAACAGGTTCCAACATTTGCGTTTACGTCTGAGTAACTTACGAATCTCCCGGTTTATCCAAGGGGGGGAATGTTTCCGACCCTTTGGAACAGACCAAGGGATGAAGGGTACAGTTACTTGGGCGTAAAGTTGCTTAAATTGGTTCCATGCGGCTTCTACTTGGGACTCTGGATTGATGTACCAGTTTACTGAGTTGGCTGCTGAGACGATCGCATTTATGTCAGCTTTCCAAACGTTTGGTCGAGCTGGGGTTTTGGCCCTTGCTGCCGTTGCTGTGAACTTGAAAGTGAGCACAGCATGGTCACTTCTTCCTAACGGAGGAAGATGTTGTATGAGATCCACATCCTCACCGTGTGAGAACACTAGGTCCAGAGTTGACGAGGAGTGCTGTGAGTCATAGCGCGTGGGCTTAATGATATGTTGGACTAGGGCTAGCGATATACTAGATTCTAGCAGTTTATGATCAAAGGAGTTGACTGAAGATGGAGTTGTTAGGCTCGACCAGTCAACTGTTGGGGCGTTGAAGTCACCGACTACGAGACTTCGACATTTTGAAGTCCAGGAGCCTAGCTTCTCTATTAGGAAGTCGTCTGCACTGCAGTCAGGACTGCGGTACACAGCAATGAGGTCAATGTCTTGGCCTATGCATTTAAGTCTGCAGCGTAGAAGTTCGCACGACTCACTTTCGTGGGCGAGTGCTTCGATACTACGCACGGTTAAGCCTTTCTTGAGGTAGATGACTACGCCCCCTCCTTTGCGGTTTAGTCGGTCTACCCTGTGCACTTCGAAGTTTGGCAGGTTAACTTCGTTGTCAGTGACATCGGGTGTGAGCCATGTCTCTGTGATAATAATTACATCCGGGTTTCCGGTTTCTATCATGTTTGCCAGCTCAGTCCTTTTATTTAACAGGCTGCGGGCGTTTGTGTAGCAGACTGTTAATTCAGATTGGTGCTTCCCCGGCCCACCCACAGAGGTTTCGGGATCATTAAACTGCGAACTCGGACAACCCGAAAACCCTTAATCTTAAGGTTCTTCTCACCGTTCCGGCGTCGCTCACTTAATTCTAGTGCCGCAGCCTGTCTTTTGACACGGTCTGCCAGGCTTAAGTCAGCGCGGACATATATCCCTGATCCTTTGAGAATATGAGAGTTGCTTAGAATAGCGTCCCTCTCCGCTTTAGAGTTTAGTACGACTTTGAGGAGACGTACAGGTTCACTTACTGTAGGGTCAGGCTTTTGACCTATTCTGTATACGCTGTGTATAGTAATGCCTGATACTGTTTGTGGCAGTAGCTTGTCTAAAAGGGGCTTGACCAAGTTAAGGTCATGCTCGAATCTGGTCTTAGGGTCGAGAGCCAGTGACTCCTCCACTTTGTGGAGAATGAGAGACCTATCAGAGAGATCGGGTTTGCTTTCCGTGACTTTCTTGCCCTGAGGCGTAAGTGTGTTTCTATCCTTCTTGGGCGGTGTGGCCGAAGTGTTATCCTTATCTCGCTTTTTGCGAGAGACTACGGTGCGCCATTCATTGGCGTCCTCCTCGCTAATCTTAGTGGGGTTCGTCTGTCTGCTGCTCACCGGTGTGGATGAGGCTTGTTCCGCCAGTCCCTGGGCGACTGGAGCTGCAGGTTTTCGACCCCTAGTACGCCTCTTCTTCACGGCAGTCTTTCCATTACTGTCACTGGAGGGCTCATCCAGTATCGTGGGGGCGACCTGGGTGTCTGTAATATGGTGGGTGTTCTTCTGTGCTGTAGAGCACTCACTTATTGGCAAGGTCGCATCTGGGACATGTGCTGTTTTGTCAATGACGCTAGTCACGTCATCGCTATCTGAGCAATAGTCGGTATTCTTCTGTGGTGGAGGACGCTTGCAGTCCATGAGCTTTAAAGCCCCACTAAGAGTAGCTATGGCTTCTGTAATACGGAGTTTAGTTGTACTACAGCAGTCGTTGCACAACCAGTTCGCTAGAGGTTTGCAGCAGCGTTTGTATGCTGCTGGAGTAAGGTTCGTGCACATACTGTGAAACCATCTCTTGCAGTTATCACACTGCATTCCCTCATCCACTGGAAACTGGCACATAGCCCTTCCGCAGCGGTTTCTTTTGATAGGCATTTTATTTAAAACGAACCAAGAAAAGTTAAATACAACTTCAAATATATATATAACCTTTGTAAATCAGTGATAAAAGCTAATGAGTGCACAAAGATAGATATATGTAGCTATTATGTTATAAGAACACTTCCTATAATTAATAGACTGAAATCTGAAACGTAAACTAACTTCGATCAGAATAAACTGATTTAAAGTTAAATCTGTGGACTTTTGGAGCGTATAACACAACAAAAGCCAATTATAAACAAGAGCGTGAAAATTAACTCCCTTTTCAAAGTTCGCGCGGTTGGATCATAGGGGGACATTTTACTCTATCTGAGCCAATAATGTGTAGTTCCTTATCTTTTCTTATCCCGGTAAATGTGTTCTCCTGAAGTGTGCAAAACTTGGGATGCAGTCCGTTTAAGAACTGGGGAAATGTTTTGTTTGGACGTATGTGGGGAGTGTGGGTTAATTGTGAAGAGCGATTATTTATACGATGAGGCGGTGGGATATTTGCGAAAGTTTGGAGATCACTTCGTCGAAAATGTGGAATGAATCTAGAAAATGTCTCGTAATTTTGGATTATCCGTCTAAAATTGCCCACACGCCCTGTGTATATTCTCTCACTAGGATATCTTTGATATGTATATCTACAAATTAATTTTCAAGTGCTATATGTTGCACAGTATATAATTCTCGTTGAAAGCTGAATTTTGAGAGAAAAATATAAACATCGATAGTTTGCTGTTTGGTGATAGTGTGAGTAGAGTTAACTGTTGGCTTTCTGTTACTCTATAAACAAGATGACCTATTTAAAGAGGTGTTATTTTAAGACCAGAATTTTTCTCTTTTGAGTTATGTATTTCTGACTTTGCCAAGCAGATCTGCATGCTTGAATTGTCAATTCACAATAGATCAGTCAGTTTCAAGATTATTTTTGTAATTTGGATGAAGGCTAGAATTACTGTACATTACGCTTTAATTATCAGTAACTTACAGGCCTGACTCTTAATTTTAAATTAATTCTATGCACAGAAACTTTGAAAATCTTTGGGAAGTGTTTTTGAGTACTAAAGAAGGGTGGTATAATTAATGTTTAAAGTTCTCTCAAAGCTCTTATGAAACCTTCGTAAGGTGGTTCTAACGACTAAGTTTAGGCATAAGAATTCAATCTGCTTGCAATATTCATTTCATGTGAAAGATTGAATAATACAATTATTCAAATGGCTGTCTATATTTTTCCTTTTTGACTTTTACCACCACTCTAAAATCAGATAAGTGTAGTTTTTGAGATTAATTGTAAAACATTTTCACTAGTTGCACATTTCATTGCTTTTTCCTCATTTGAATGTAGCTTGATGAAGACTTTCTCAAATTTTATTCCACCTTTCTTTTTACAGCTAACATTTGTCGTGCTACCAAAGGAAATTTTTTATCTTACATCTAATAGTTCACAGCCTCACATTTTATGGAAATCGACGTGAAACGACCACCTGTTGACAGGTGAGACAGTATCATATCATTCTATTCTCAGGTATAATTTGGCCTACATATTCCTTTTTTTACATGGTATTGGATTATTGATACCGTGGAATGTGTTTATTAATGCTCGCGAGGTACTGCCTACTTACTAGTAACAAATTTTTAGTATTATGTTGACTACAAGCTAAATACAACAACAAGTTTCAATGCCGATTATCGTATCAATCTTCTTAGTTATTTTGGCTTTGCAGCACATTTCCCGAACTTGTGTTTCGCTGCATGGAACACATTTTACCAAAGTGGTTCTGGGTAAGTTGAATTATCTTTAATTTTCAAAAGAATGGATACTGAACAAAGAGTACTCTTTTCGATAACTTCATCATCAGGCTCTACAGTTATACATACATTATAGTGAATGAATGAATTAGTGTTATGGAAAACATTGATGTTTAAATAACATCAAATCAATAATAATGATATCAATGGATTACAGTTCGATAGCATCAACATAAAATAAGTTGAATGTCAGAAAAATTAGGAAGTTCCTAGAGCAACAGCCAATATAACTCGCTCCACCACAAGCTCAGTTGAATTGAATGAAGCGAGAACAACATTGATTTGTGCAGAATAACATGGTACCATCATTTATTTCGTTGGCTTCTCGTCAGCTGCTTACAGCCTAAATAAATTTTCAGGTTTAAGTACAGAAACGTGTTAACATACTTGCAAATTTTACATGTTGTCAGTTGACAGAAAGTTTCACAATTAGTAAACAGTGCTCAGAAAATTGCGCTTATATAGTTTTTACACCGGCAGTTCAAGTTAAAAAAAATAATAATAAATAAATGTATGCATATAATAAAGATGGGATGTGCGTTGCATGCATAGTGACTAATAAGTTAGGTAACAATGCACTGAGTTGAACTCAAATCATAGAAACAAGAGACAAGCAAAATTACAGAATATCAAAGAGGGTGAGGTTAAAGACAAAGATTACGCAGTCAGATGAGAAAAAAAAGACATCCAGTTACCAAGGCAAGGAAAGACTAATAACTGATTCTTTCTGAACACATAGATCTGGTTTCAAGCGTTTGATAGAAATTGCTTCGGCAAACTTGAGGAGAATGGAGCTCCTTTGTCTATTGATAATTTTGAAGGATTTCTCGATTTCCACCTCATGACCCGTGTCGAGGAGATGTCTGGTAATAGCGCTGCTATAAGAGTTTGTTCCCTTGAGACGTAGGCTTTTCGGCACATGTTCAGAAAATCGGAGGTGTGCCCTTCTTTCTGTTCTCCCAATGTAACTGCTCCCGCAGATACACGTAAATTTGTATACACAGTTGGAGTTAACATGAGAAGGGTATCTATCGACTTTTGACTGCACCAAAGAGCATGTTGTTCGATGGACGGGAACCAACTTAGCTGCAGGATAGGCTCTGGCTAGTGACGTCCTCAGTCTTCTGTTGACCATTTCTGCAATGTCTTCACCTTTAAAGTCTAGTTGAATGAAGACAGGCTTTTTTCCGACTGTGTTTTGTTTGGTATTTGGGCCTTCACATCTTCCATATTTGTTAATGAATTTTTGAGTATAGCCGTTGTTTTTCAGCACCTTTTCGAGATTCGTGAATTCTTCCTCTAGTTTCTCTGCAGAGCATATTCTCCTCGCTCTATAGTACAGAGTCTTGACTAGTGCTCGTTTATAGCTATTTGGACAAAAACTATTAAAATGTAAGTATTGTCCATTCCATGTGGGCTTTCGGTAGATTGACCTCTGGAGGCTACCATCTTCTAGGCGTTTTATGGCGACGTCAAGGAAATGGAACTGTTCATCATTTTCATGTTCCATAGTAAATACAATATTTGTATGTGCGTTGTTGAATAGTCTGAGTAGGTAGGAGGCATGACTTTCGTTGTTGCATACTACAAATGTGTCATCGACATATCGACAATAGGAAGTTGTTTGATCAATTGCATGCTTCAGCTTTGTTTTCTCAAGGTTTGACATAAAGATATCTGCTAAAACAGGGCTAAGTGGACTGCCCATAGCTACACCATCTATTTGTCGGTAAAGAGTGTTGTCAAACTGGAATTGTACACCCATGGTACACATTAGCAGTAGGCGTTTGAATTCCGGCTCTGGTAGTGGGAGAAGATCAGACTGCTGACAAATGATCTCAATGGTTTCATTGATTGGGATCATTGTGAACAAGGAGGTTGCATCAAATGAAGCCATGAACTTATTTGAAACGTTCATGTGATTCACGCTTTCAGCAAAATGAAATGAGTCCTTTATGGTGTGCGCGGCTAGCCTTTGGCGAATGGGTTCCAACTTCTCCGCGAGCCAACGGGCAACCTTATGTTGGGGAGAGTTGATCATCGAAAGTATAGGTCTCAGAGGGACTTCTTTCTTGTGTGTCTTTGGAAGGCCATACATATATGGCAAGCGGGACCCTCGGGGTTTCAATTCATTGTACGTGTTGTTGTCAATCAAATTCTTCTTTAGAAGATCTCTCAATACGTTTGTGATGCGTTTTTCGGTTGCATCTGTCTTGTCTTTCTGGCAGTCGTCGACTTTGAACCTCAACGGATCATTGAGCACAGTTTTCATCCTTGCGATGTAGTCATCTTTATCCATCACTACCACTCCTGAGCCTTTGTCAGGTCGCAGTATGACAATTTTGTCATTATTTCTGAGAGCTTTCAATGCTTTTTGAGAACCAGCTCTTCTTGTCCTCATCAACTGGGGTAAGATCATTCAGCTGATAGAAGTTGATGAGGACAAGAAGAGCTGGTTCAAATCTAAGCTGGTCGACGTTGCAAATCAATACCTCATCTCACCAACGTCATATTCAAAAGTCCTCTCTGAAGAGCATCAAAAAGCATTGAAAGCTCTCAGAAATAATGACAAAATTGTCATACTGCGACCTGACAAAGGCTCAGGAGTGGTAGTGATGGATAAAGATGACTACATCGCAAGGATGAAAACTGTGCTCAATGATCCGTTGAGGTTCAAAGTCGACGACTGCCAGAAAGACAAGACAGATGCAACCGAAAAACGCATCACAAACGTATTGAGAGATCTTCTAAAGAAGAATTTGATTGACAACAACACTTACAATGAATTGAAACCCCGAGGGTCCCGCTTGCCATATATGTATGGCCTTCCAAAGACACACAAGAAAGAAGTCCCTCTGAGACCTATACTTTCGATGATCAACTCTCCCCAACATAAGGTTGCCCGTTGGCTCGCGGAGAAGTTGGAACCCATTCGCCAAAGGCTAGCCGCGCACACCATAAAGGACTCATTTCATTTTGCTGAAAGCGTGAATCACATGAACGTTTCAAATAAGTTCATGGCTTCATTTGATGCAACCTCCTTGTTCACAATGATCCCAATCAATGAAACCATTGAGATCATTTGTCAACAGTCTGATCTTCTCCCACTACCAGAGCCGGAATTCAAACGCCTACTGCTAATGTGTACCATGGGTGTACAATTCCAGTTTGACAACACTCTTTACCGACAAATAGATGGTGTAGCTATGGGCAGTCCACTTAGCCCTGTTTTAGCAGATATCTTTATGTCAAACCTTGAGAAAACAAAGCTGAAGCATGCAATTGATCAAACAACTTCCTATTGTCGATATGTCGATGACACATTTGTAGTATGCAACAACGAAAGTCATGCCTCCTACCTACTCAGACTATTCAACAACGCACATACAAATATTGTATTTACTATGGAACATGAAAATGATGAACAGTTCCATTTCCTTGACGTCGCCATAAAACGCCTAGAAGATGGTAGCCTCCAGAGGTCAATCTACCGAAAGCCCACATGGAATGGACAATACTTACATTTTAATAGTTTTTGTCCAAATAGCTATAAACGAGCACTAGTCAAGACTCTGTACTATAGAGCGAGGAGAATATGCTCTGCAGAGAAACTAGAGGAAGAATTCACGAATCTCGAAAAGGTGCTGAAAAACAACGGCTATACTCAAAAATTCATTAACAAATATGGAAGATGTGAAGGCCCAAATACCAAACAAATCACAGTCGGAAAAAAGCCTGTCTTCATTCAACTAGACTTTAAAGGTGAAGACATTGCAGAAATGGTCAACAGAAGACTGAGGACGTCACTAGCCAGAGCCTATCCTGCAGCTAAGTTGGTTCCCGTCCACCGAACAACATGCTCTTTGGTGCAGTCAAAAGTCGATAGATACCCTTCTCATGTTAACTCCAACTGTGTATACAAATTTACGTGTATCTGCGGGAGCAGTTACATTGGGAGAACAGAAAGAAGGGCACACCTCCGATTTTCTGAACATGTGCCGAAAAGCCTACGTCTCAAGGGAACAAACTCTTATAGCAGCGCTATTACCAGACATCTCCTCGACACGGGTCATGAGGTGGAAATCGAGAAATCCTTCAAAATTATCAATAGACAAAGGAGCTCCATTCTCCTCAAGTTTGCCGAAGCAATTTCTATCAAACGCTTGAAACCAGATCTATGTGTTCAGAAAGAATCAGTTATTAGTCTTTCCTTGCCTTGGTAACTGGATGTCTTTTTTCTCTCATCTGATTGCGTAATCTTTGTCTTTAACCTCACCCTCTTTTATATTCTGTAATTTTGCTTGTCTCTTGTTTCTATGATTTGAGTTCAACTCAGTACATTGTTACCTAACTTATTAGTCACTATGCATCCAACGCACATCCCATCTTTATTATATGCATACATTTATTTATTATTATTTTTTTTAACTTGAACTGCCGGTGTAAAAACTATATAAGCGCAATTTTCTGAGCACTGTTTACTAATTGTGAAACTTTCTGTCAACTGACAACATGTAAAATTTGCAAGTATGTTAACACGTTTCTGTACTTAAACCTGAAAATTTATTTAGGCTGTAAGCAGCTGACGAGAAGCCAACGAAATAAATGATGGTACCATGTTATTCTGCACAAATCAATGTTGTTCTCGCTTTATTCAAGTTTATCAAGGGGAATAAATGCATGAGTTGAATTGGTGGATACGATTAGAAGTTGCTAGTCTAGGTACTTCATCTTTCAGTCGAGGAATCACCATCGGTGGTTTAGAGAATATTAGTTCGTCAGCATTAAAAGTTCTTTGAACTGATTTTCTTAATTTTTTCGCAATTATGTCGCTTGGTATATCACCCATGAATTGTAGACGTATATAAAGAGGTTTCTTCTTTACGGATAGTGGTTAGTCCTTCTCCGCTTTCTTTGTCATGTATTTATTGATAAATTTGTCAGGATAGACATTTTCGATCAAAGTATCATATACAATGCTTAATTCATTTTCAAATACTTCTTCTGAGCATATAGCTCTAACTCTGTGGGTGAGGGTCTTCACTAAATTTCTTTTGTACTTGATAGGAACGAAGCTGTGCAGAAGTGTATATTGTCCTGTCCAAATGCTTTTTCTATGCGAATTTCTTTTTATGCTACCATCTGGTTTTCTTGTAAGTAGGACATCCAGAAAGGCAATTATCTTTAATTGTTAAACGTACTCTTTAGTGAAATAGTATAAATAGTTGGATATTAAAAGCCCACTAATGCTAAACAATGTTAAATTTAAGGCTTTCTCACTTATCTTGTCTGACATGCGCTTACTTACTAACGTGATTTTATTGACATTCTTTACCATCAAAACACATACTTATTATCAACTGAGTGATTAAAGACAGGAAAAGCTGTAATGTACCAACAAATTTCCTGGCATTGTGAATGTAGTTCACTAAATTTTGAAACTACTGCTTTGGGTTCATTATAATAAAGGTTTTCTTATATTTCCCAATGAATGAAAAACAAAACGATATTGTTTTTACTGACGTCTCGCTGTTTAATGCTTCTAATAGCTTTATCAAAGTATTATTAAACCGGAATTTAAATAATCTCATCATATATGTAACAAAGAGTTAGGGGGTGAGAAAAAAAATAGACTTAGGTCAAGTTAAAGGGACATATTGAAAGTCAATGAAGATCACTAAACCAAATAACAAAGGTAATAGTACATCTGTTATGACATCAAAATAAAGTTTACTAACTTGATCTTCTTTCGTCAGTCTGGGGTCGTATTTCGTTGTCAAGTTGGTCAACTGGTAAAGATAACAAAACCAAGTGTAGATTATCGGGTTTGATCAGTGTGTAAAATTATAAAAGTAGTGTGTGTTTACATATCACATTCGTGTTGATTTAGTCACTTCATTGGGGGAGGGGAGGGAGGTGTTGTGACCAGGTCAGATTTTGTTTTAGTCCATCATTCCTATTCATCAGACAATTTTGATTCCACTTGATATGAAGTGCTTCTGATATTTCACGTTCTTTGTGATTTGTGAAGTTTTTCTGGATGATGATTTCAATATTGTCAAAATCAATTTTGTGTCCTGATTCTATAGCGTGGCTGATGATTTTTCTAGTTCAACTGGATTTCTCGGTGGTCGAACAGATGCTCTACGGTGTTCATTTCTTCTGATTTTGATTTCTCGAGATGTTTGTTTTGATACCATAACAGATGTACTATTGCCTTTGTTATTTGGTTTAGTGATCTTCATTGTTATTTCGACTTTCGATATATCCTTTTAAGTAGTCTATTTTCTCACCTCTTAACTCTTTGTTATATATATGCTGAGATTTTGTAAACTCCGGTTTAGCAATACTTTGATAAATTTATTGGCATTAAATAGCGAAACGTCAGCAAAAGAATATCGTTTTGTTTTTCATTCATTGGGAAATACAAAAAGCACCTTTATTATAATGAATATCATATACCCAATGCCTAAATTTCTTCAAACTGTTAAAAGTGAACTTACTTTGGACATACATAACTTAATTAAATACTGCTTGGCGTCATAAAATTTCTTTATAAGGAATGAAGCAAACTTATGTGATCTGCAAAATAGGTCCAGCTATCAAATTAATTAACTAGCAAAAGTTTACAATTGATTTTGATTTTTTGATTACAGCCTGATTCCACACCGTATTTTTTGGTAAAGGTATGGGAATTTTCAGCATATGATACCGTTAGGCCAAAATTTTCCGGCTGACCATACATATCAAGCGTGCGTTGGCAGGGGAACGAACTCCGGACCGTGTGGATGGTCGGCGAGAATCCTAACCGCTGTGTCACCGATGCAGGGGAAACAGTAGAAATGAACAAACTGATTTACTTTTTTTCGTAGGATTAAGTTTTTCTTATCCCATATATTAAAATATTTGGTTGGAAAACATCAAATTAGATTGTTTCCTGTGTCCATTGTTTGATAATTCCTCTGTTCATATTTTAAAATTTTATGTGTGGATAGAATGAAGAATGTTGTTGGCAAATTTATAAGGTTTAGTAATGCGCCGGTTGGGAATCGAACTCTGGACCACGTGCGCGGCTATTAGATATACTCATTTCTTAGAACTGTTTATCTAAATGTATTTTTTTCTGAATTTTTTATTTAGAAACAAAATCCACGTTTTCGATTTTTGGCATGTATGATTGTCGAGATCATTGTTCTTGCACTAACTATTATCCTGGCCTTGGTTGACACGTCGAACAGTAAGTGAACACGTTTTAACTTAGTATAGTTGGTTTCACTGATCAATTAGTGATTGTCCAACTCTTGTTCTAAAAGATTTCTGATTGTTTATGCTAATTTCTTTTGTTTCCTTGTTCACCAAAGAAACAAGTGTACATAATGAAAACACAATCTAGTATTAATACTTAGTGGTCTAGGTTACTGTCTCAGTATGCCCAATTTCTCATCCTTGATAACTAATCAAATACTTGCCCTGTTGCATAATACTTCAAGAATATCATTAAGTAGTTGTTTACTAGCCTTTTGTGGAAGCTAAAAACCATGATTGCCGAAGAAATAACGGATCGAAAACTAAAGTTTTTAATCATGAGGAAAACAATTAATGTGAATGGGCTGATTTGAATCGTAAAGCACTAGAAATTGATATTCTATTGTGATAAATCAAAGACATTAGAAATTTTTTTGCTGCTTCAGAAATCATCGCTGGTACGCTTCAGTATACTTGATAACATTGACTTTTAAATATCTTTAGCCTGAAATGAGAAACTCTTAATCCTTTAGAAGTTGGTTCACTTAACTTTGTCTTCAGTAAAATTAATCTACTGTCCTTTCATTTTTGAGATGTACGGAACTGATGACTAGTTTCATTGTACATATTCCACCTTAGCTTCCTGTTTAACTCCAATGACTTTGTCTCCCAAAAAAGTAAATAAACAGATCTCATAGGCTCTGAATAATTCAGCTATGAAAAGTTCCTGTTCAGTCCATCCTGTTGACTTCTTCTAGATGTGAATAACAGCAGATAGTGTGTGCTGATGAGTTTAAAAACGATTCTGTTTTTAATGGTTAAGTTTTATGCATCACGTCAGACTAATTTGCTACTTCTTCATTCATTTGTGACACTTTTTTATTACAAAACGATTCTAGGAAAGAATCGCTATGTGATATAAAAAATCGTATCTTTTTGAAAACATGTATTCCCCGATACAAGTTGAAAACAATGGACAAAGCAGGATTTAATGAATCCATCTCATTCCTGTAGAAATCTTCAGCTGAATACTCTGCATACAGATATATATATATATATATATATATATATATATATATATATATATATATATATATATATATATATATATATATATATATATACACTATTAAAGTTACATTGGGAGATATAAGACTGATAAGTAAATAATCTACATTGAATCAACCATGAAAAATGACTGGTTTGAGTGTTTTTTTCAGGTAATGTTCGGATACATAAGGGGAAGAGAGTATGGGAGATTAAAATTAAGATAATAGTGCATTACGGTTCAATTACATTACTTAGATTAACTGTCTTTGATCATAGGTGCCTGCGTTCTGTTTCCCGTGTGAAGTGGTATAATAAGATGAGCAATATTGAGATTAGGCGTCGAGTTCTAGGTAAGCAAGGGAAATCAGTCGACGAGGTTGTGAAGTTACAAAGACTGAGATGGTTAGGACATGTGTTACGTATGCCTAATCATCGCCTTCCTCGACGAGCAATGTTAGCGGATATAGGGTCAGGCTGGAAAAGAGCTAGCGGAGGTCAAACAAAAACATGGCACCAGTCAATAAAATCTACAACAGTTAGTTTAAGCCAGTCACGTAGGAAGGTGTATACTTCCTGGTCGGGGTCCTCGGGACGGTAAAAACCAATGGTTAGAAACAATCGGTGATATGGCTCGAAATCGTTCTCTATGGCTGGTGCAGACGCATCCACTCCTTGTGATTTATGATTTCCAATGAAACTTTATTGTTCTTCGTTATTTCTATTCCTTTGTCTCACACCTTTGCTTACTGTCTCTATTATGCATTTCTTCTACTTTCTTCTGTTGGTTTGTGTGCTACAAGGAGGGAGTGTGGCGACTTGAGCTGCCGCACATATGTGCGAAGTTCTATGCCGAAAACAGACAGAAGAGATAGACACACATCACTTAGATAAACAATTAGTTATCACGGAATGAACTTGAATATATCAAGAATTGCAAAAGTGATTAATATTGACACAGGATCACTTTAAATGAGTCAAGAATAATAACAAGTAGAATAAAATACAGAATAAAAAATAGTAATAATGACAATTAGTAAGTAAGGCATATTACCATTTCCTTCTGTATACAAAGACCGGATTTATAAACTCTAATTGCACAAGCCTACTCGGTTGCAAGCATCTTCGTGTTTGTTTGTCAGCTGAAAACAGTGAACGACTTGACAGCGTCAGTATTATGTGCGTAGTCCACAAGGTATTTTGTTAATGGACTTTTCTACACTTTGACTGCAGATGTTCTCAACCACATTGAAAAATGCTCTATCATGTGAGTAAACAATTGTCTTTCTCTACGACCTATGTATTTGTTTTCACAAACACACTCAAGCTGATGTATGCAGTTTGAAGTGTCGGGGATTGGCGACTGGTCTTTCCCATATTGTTGCAGCATCCACTTGTTGGTCTTATGGAACACGAGTCTTGCAGTTTAATAGGTTTTCCTGATAGGTTTATCAAGTCTTTGTTTGACTACTTCTTGTACGTCATCTCCTTTAAATGGAAAATTAATATATATTTAGATAGTTTTTCTGGGGAAATGAATTTACGCTTCACTGTTCACATTAAACTTACAATGTTCTAAGGGAATTTTCATAATAATCTCACTGACTTTTAAAATGACTGATATTCGAATAAGTTGAATTTCTCCAAGTGGTGATTTTTTTCTTTAGCAGTTTATATTTGTGTCTGTTCCCACTTCGTATTTTATGTATTTCCTTTTCAAGTAATGGGCATTTAAAAGAGTATCGAAAAGTTTTGTTCATTTAAGAATGTCACTATTGTTGATATACAGTAGTTGCCGGAAATTATTTTATATTCATATTCATTTCCTTGAACAGACTGTGCAGTTAGCTTCAGTTTGATTTCGCGACTTATTCGACTTGGATATATAATAAGTTCATATCTAAAGACTTAGTGTAGTCTGAAGTGTATCCATTTTATTCATTCGTGACTGAATTCACTAGTTGATTTATAGATGTGATTACAATATCTGCATTTAGTTATCTGTCTTTGGAGGAAAAACTTAACTAATATGATAAAAGTCAATTCTTCTAGATGGGCCAGAAACTTGGCATGTCATGAAAACTGTTTCGAACAGCCAGTTGCAGACCTTTATCAACAGCTACTTTCTCTCTATATTGAAGATCTACTTACTGGTCAGAAAGGATCAGCAGTAGGAAATTCTGAGAACAAACCAACCAAAAACCTATTGCACAGCGAATATGTAGAAGCAAATGGAGGTGGGTTGGGCACACACTGAGAAGACTGTCGAGTGATACCGCGCGCCAGGCCTTCGAATTGAATCCGAATGGGTCTTCCAAGAGTGACATGGAGGAGATCCTATGGCGAGGAATAGATGAGAGATTATTGTCAGTAGTGGACGCAGATGAAGAGGACACAAGAAAATCGAACAAAGCCTTATGTGTTGCACTCGGAATCCAATGGAATAATAATAATACATTAAAAAACTTCTGAGTTCTTTGCAAACTAATTCATTATGCTATATTTATTAGCATTATTGTAAGCGATGAACTGCAGTTAGACCGTTGTCCCCTAAATTACACTATTTGACCATACGATAAATCCTGTATACATTCTGATATAAAATAACATACTACTAAGCCGCCAAAATTCTACTCTTATGAAGATTTCTCACAATTTATAGATATTTTTTCATAGAATAAGCCAGTTTATTTCTAGGGTAGATTATAGTGCCAATACCGTTGACAATTACTAGGGCACTAACAATGTGGTGAATCATAATTCACATATAACTGCTCTACAAGAATTATTTAAAAAATCCAATTTCGATTTTTTTATTGACTGATTTGACGGAAATGTTCGGCAACTGTTGACATGTCGGTTCCTTGTGCGGATGCTTCGACTGACATCCGTTGGCTCTCGTGGCCCAAGTGATCCAAATGGGCAACTCTTTGAAGTTCAAGACGATGGGTATTGGGTTTGAGTTACAGTGGGAACACCATCACTCACTGGATAATGCAAGTATAATAATAATAATAATAACAGCTTTATTCCAAACGGTATTTGTGGTACAGGTATGGAATTTTCAGCGCGCATTACAATATATTGCATCTAATTACCTCATAAATTTTATAAGATTTTTAAAATCAAAAAATAGATAAATAAATAAAACCAACGCCAAAAAAAAAATATAAAAGATTAATAAAAATAAAAAACAACAGCGTAGCGTTTACATTTCAAACAATGCACCACAGGATATGAAATATAAAGTTGATGTGTGACAGAAGATGAGAACAACAGTGTAATAGTAACGAGGACAGGAAAACAGAAAAACTAATGGAACTGTTTGTTAGAGTCCCACAGTAAGCTGATCGTGTCATACCTAACGGAATTCTCATCACATAACAGCTGTGCCAGATATGGTATTGTGGAGTTTTTGTATTTGGTAGTCCTAGCATATAGCCTCCTATAGCTGCTTCTAGTTCTACCAGATGAAATGTGAGGAGACAGCTGCGTATAGAGAGGATTCTCGGGGTCTGATAATATTGTATTCGCTAGTTTCGCTAGTAAATCAACTAGCTGACGAGGCCAAAATAAGACTAAATGTACATCCCGCACTCCATCGCTAGTCACCAAATTTACTCCATGCTGTACAAGAAACCCGTAAAGTTTCGGTAAACAACACGTATTATTTTTGGGTATCCAAGACTATTTTCAAAGGTAAAGTCTGTAAATTATTTTTATTTCATATGTATGAAAGATTGAAGAGACTAATACAATTTAATATTTATTCATTTATTTTACTTTTAGTCCCGGGCACGTTTTGCTTCATCACCATAATGAGTGTTGTAATCATAAATTGTAAGTAAAAATGTATCTTATTTGTATGCTTTGATCGAGGGATTTATTCACTGGGATTTTCTTAACATAAAAAGTGCAAATTGTCATATAATTTCCTTCTTAATATTTCACTTAAGGTTATAACAAAGAGGAGACGTTTATAAATCGTATCGCTTGAATCATAGAATAAATGGTTTCCTAAAGTGACAAAATTAGGTATAATTTTTTTTATCACCATATGTGCGTCGGTGACACAGCGGTAGAATGCTCGCCAACCATGCAGGTGGTTCGGGGTTCGATCCGCGGCCGAAGCCCTCCTTTAACCTCGTTAAGACAGTAATATAACTGGTAAAAAATGAAGGTTGGACAAGAGGCCAGTGACCTCATCCCGCGAAAATAAACACCACTGCTGCTGAAACTTCAAAGCCTCTAGCTAGAAGCCCTGGGAACGTAAAGGAATAAGAAAATCACCATATGATCTCTAGGGTAATTAATATTTTGAATTGATTGGTTTACTGTTGATATCATTTGGGTATTGAGTATCAGTTTCTTGCTTGTGATTAAATTATTTTCGGTCAAAATAAGGTAACGAAGTTGTAAATATCCAGTTGTGTCCGGTATTGTCACAGAACCCACCTTGAATTCAGCTCCCCTAATTGCTAGCACTACCAACATGAATAGGTCTTGCCGATGAATTCTCTCTGAATTCACTTCTGAACAATGAATCCTGAACTCTCATCTTTGTCGAGACATGACTGTTGTTTAGATACCAGATACGGTATGCGACAGCAGAGTGAAACCATGAGACTGGAAATACTACCAGCTGTACCCTGACACCTAAATCTACTTATATTGCCCCGCATAAGGTATTGAAGCCTACACTGGCTACCATGTTACAACCGGTTTGGAACCAATTATTTCAATAATAGTGTGGCTAGGAGGTTTTTTGATAAGGTAAATCTTGACTGATTTCTAACTGATTGATATAGCACTTCCTACAAAACACAGTCCGCATAAAAAAACAGTTGGCAGTTAAGATGGTAGGTTTAAAATTTGCTTTAAGTATAACGCCTGTTATCTAGGTAAAGTTAATGTTGACTAAATCTTGTGCGTCGGTGGTATAGCGGTTAGGACGCTCGCCGACCATCCACATGGTCCGGGGTTCGACCCCCGGCCGGCGCACTCCTTAACCTCACTGAGCCAGAAATAATGCTGGTAAAGAGGAAAGGTTGGGCATGAGGCTAGCAACCCCATCCTGCAAAAATTAAACACTGCTACAGAAACTTCAAGCCACTAGCTTGGAGCCCTATGTTCCACTGGGAACGTGAAGGAAAAATTATTATTATTAATTTAAATCTTGAAGCTGGTTTAAAAGATCGTTTCGAAAAAAATTATACTTATAAAATATCCAAATATTTCCTTCCATCGTTATATACGTTACTTAGTGGATGTTGGTGATTAGTGGTAGAATCCAGGATGCGCATTTTATCGTATTTGGGACTCGTCATCTGGATGTACCTGCATTGCTCAGTAAAGTTACACAGTGCTGCTACTGAGATTTGAACCCAGCGTCCATCGTTTCAAATGCCAAAGGTTAATTTTTATTTCATATTATTTAATCTACATACCTATATTACTCACTGTATATTATAGTTTTACAATGAGTCATCGTTTAAGGAAAACGAACACTCTAATATCTCCAAATTCCTATTTGTGCATTTAGAAAAACAACAAACTGAGCGAAGAAATATATTCCTTTTCACTATACACCTATATATAGTTTTTTTTACATCAAAATGATTTATCACTTAAGTGGTTTAGCTGGTCAGTTCTAGTTATAGGGGGGAGGGTGAAATTAAGAGGTTAAAGGTCATCAAAACAAATAACTAAAACCTGGGAGTACTGGACAGCTGTTTCCTCCTAGTTGGAGACTCCTCATAGTACCCATCCGCTGCCAGGGTTCTAACCCAGGACCTTCTGGTTACAAGGCAAGCTAGCTCGTAGACCATTAAGCCACTGGGACCCGATCCAATGGCCAGCCCATGAATTCTAACTTCTTCCAATTCACAACATAGCGCAACCGCTAGCCAATGTCTTCGGCAAGTATTTTTCCTCACACCCAACGTGTTGCACCCTACTGGTCACGACTTCTCACTAGAACCCCAGGTAACTACCTACCTGAATAGGGCAATTCGCTAGTGAGCGTCTCATTGATATTGGTTTGCAGGGTTTTCCAATGGTTCTCTAACTAATGTGAGCTCATGATGAAACCCTGTAACCGATCAAATGCCTACGAACCAACACTTAAATAACTAAAACTTTTAAAAGACGGGTGAAAATTAATTACGGAATTCAAGATAAGTTGATTCTTAGGCGTTAGCAAGAAATTTCTAAAATAATGATGACTAAGAAGGATAGGATGAGTTAGATGACTCTCATATCTTTCTATCCAGTAGAACGATCTGGGAAATGTGTCTACAGTTTACAGAACACTAGACAGTCATCATTTTTTGAATTCTTCTGATTGCATGCACAGTCATATGTTCAGGTGAAGCGGAACAGTTATCTAGAAAGTAGTAATTCCAGTGAATAATTACCTGCAATCACGTTCATATTGTAAATCACACATCATTAATTCTATCATCTTTCTCACTTAAGCATACTAACTGTTAGCCTTTTGTAATCAGTTGTAAAATATTTTTACACCTGAATGATAGTCATTTTAATTAAAAATACTCTAATTGCTTAAAAACCACTTCCATTTAATGAGACTAGTCATAAATTAAATCTATTGATATGAATCACAAAAGATATCATCGTATATAAATGACCTTAGAGTTTAGGAGTGACTCATTGGGAAGCTTTGTGCACCCTAAGTAACCCATTGGTCGGCATTCATCTACAGCTTTGCGAGAATTGTTCTCCCCAATGTTTGAACTTGGCTCACTTTTTGTCGAAGTCAGAAGATTTAGAAAGTTATACAGACAAAGACTGATTTCCTGTAGGAGTAAACTATATACGTCAAACGTGTGTCGGTGGCACAACGGTTAGGTCCCTCGCCGACCATGCATATGGTCAGGGGTTTGATCACCGGCCGACGTACTCCCTTACCTTTCTAAGCCACTAATAAAGCTGATAAAGAGGAAAGGTTGGTCATGAGGCTAGCAGCCCCATCCTGTGAAAATAAACACTACTACAGAAACTTCAAACCACTATCTTGAAGCCCTATCTTCCACTGGGAACTTGAAGGAATAAAACAAAATATATAAGTCAAACGGTAATTGGATGATAGAGTTATGTCTTTCTTTTGTAAGCGTGTTTTTTTTTCAAAGTCGATTTAATGTGAAATTTGGTCACCCAACTAAATGACAAGCCAATACTCTGTACTGTCATTCTATTTTTAGTGTTTGTAGAGGTCATTTGATAAGAAAATTGTATGTCTCATCAGTTATCACCTAGCGAAAGTAACTGATACTTCTGAAAAGCGATCGCATAAAAAGCAAATAAATTTACCGGTGTGTAATTGACTATAATGAAATTTAAAGACACCTGTTTGTAGGTTATAAGCATATCGTGATGAAGTAACTGGAGGCCAACCACAAAGCTTATATATTTATATATATTTATAGCACCATTTAGATGAATAAACTAAACATATTAAGGTGCTTTACGTCATATAACGTTTCAAAAATAGTTAACACAGTTTATACGCAGTTAATATACATGGCGTGATTTAGGCAGAAATATTTTTATTATAATTTTTGCAGACCGTAGGTGTTACGAACTTCCTGGAATAATTTGAGCACCGAGTCAGATTTATTCATTATAAATTATTGTTAACACGCTAGGATTAATTTAAATAATTTATTCTGAGAAATATTTTTACTTGGGTTTTATTCTAATAAAACAATGTTTATTATTGTTTTGTCTGTGATTTGCGTTTGAATATCTCAGTAATAATAATAATAGTAGGACGACGGCACTGTATTTCTGAATCACCCTTTCCGTTCATCTTTGAATTCATGCAGTTCGAAGTGATTATTTCGCTAGAGTCTCCTTTAGAAACCGAGACGATTCAGATCAAACACACACATACACATACAATACAATACGTGATCTGTTTGTTATCAGGAAACTAAGCGTAAATGCATAAAACAATATGAGTTTATTTTTAATATATTTTTTTGTGCGTTGAAGTTTATCTAGCAGTTTGTTAGCTTTTGTGGTGTAGGGTCGCTAGCCCCACGCCCAAGCCTCCTTTCTTACCCAGACTTGGGACCGGCTAGAAAACTAGCAAGCTAATTAACCAGTCGAGGTTATATATCTAAATATAACTATGTAACAACAGAAGACAAGGGCCAGGCAACAGATCGCTTATTAAGGAAATCAGCACGTATTAATATGTATTTCATGTACATTATTATAGCTTATTCAAGCAGACAAGCACAGTCTTCTGATTGGTTGTTTCTTGCTCAGGTTATTCTGTACTACTCGTGACTGGTTTCCCAGAAAGTTAAGCCATATATCTGCGAATCGTATTTACCCACGTTGTCTGCTGTGATTGGTTGTTGAATCCGTCTTGTTCATATTTTCTCATGGCCAATATTAGTGACCTAGAGACTGACGTAAATTAATGTCTACCAATTGGCTAACAGCCTGCTCTCACCACAAATATATGCTATTTAATTACTGATCTGAGTAGTTGTATATCACTCGCATGAGAATCAGTAGCGCTCGGTAGCTAGATCGAAATTGGATGGTTTCAACTGATTCGGCTGTCTGAGTTGAATTAAATCGGTAAAAACGCTTACGGGCTCGACTCCAACCTAGTGAAATGGTCGTCTGGTGTTTAGATCACTTCTATCTGTCTAGTAGGCATCCCTCGTTTTTATGAGTGGCCCATAACTACTTATGTCAATTAATCAGTAGTAAATAGTTTTTTGTATTTTTAAGTGTGCTTTTTGCATTTGTTTACAGGCTAATTGAATTTTAAACTCTGTTCTTGAAAGATGATTATTGCA